GTTATGAAGGCGTTCCATATTACAATAAAGATCCTACTCTGGAAAGAGCTCTAACCATCGATCATCCAGGGCGCGCTTAAATGCAGTCATGCTTCCTAAATCTACTTATCTCTTTTGACAACCGGTTCCAACTGTTCACTACTCTGTCGCTCAAGAAGCTGGATCTAACAATTAATCGAACGGGAGACTGCAAGATCGCGATAAAATGGAAGAAAAAGGCGAAAATATCCAGCGGGAAAATCCTAAAGGTTAGGAAGGGTGGGAAGCCAAACCTCTTGAGGTCTGCACAATGACGAAATTTCATCCAAATTATTCAGTTGGTCTGTTGCTGGTTTGACCTGTTACACCCTGAGCCCCATATCATTATTAATTAATAGCTCTCTAGATTCTCTCTTCTATATAACATTTACGTTTATTTTTCCTTGTCTAAATTAGTTACCGTATATTTCCCTGTTTCACCGACTAGCATGGATGTGACGTGCGGTAACCAGCGGTGTAAAAAGGGTGTTGCCTCGGAGGGAATACATTGCAATACGTGCTTAAGGTGGTTTTATCTCAGATGTGTAACAGTTGGTGAAAAGATTATCTACTATATCAAGAACGCAAAACCCTAGGTTTTGTGTGCCGAGAGTGCAATTCGCGCATACGCGAACTGATAAAGAAGGAGAACTCAGGAGAGGTAACTCAAAATGTTCGGCAGGGATATAAAGGGAAGGCGGTAGTTGGCACATCAAGCGATCTAGAGCACACAATGGAAAAAAGCATTAAAGAAGATAGGGGGTCGCTAAGGCCAATACTGATGTCTCCACCGGCTCAGAGTGCAACCAGACTGTCGTTCTAGGCAGCCAGGTAAAAGAACCAAGCAAAATAGATAGCTTCGAGGGTAAAGTGAGCTTAGCCAGCCTAACTCAAAGACTGGGGCTTCTAGAAGCCAAGGGCTGTCTGCGACCGATCTTCAGGAAAGACTTCCAATTGCTAAAGCCCGCGGCTAGATCAAGGGCTGAAAACCAGACAGCACCTGCCACGGCGACTAATGTGTCATCAATTTGCTGTAGCGAACAAGAATTCCTCTTCGAAACTGAGTTAAGCAGATGGTAATCGATAAACATTCTCAAAAACCCGTCCACTTTCGACGAAGCTCTTTTGACGGAAGAGAGTTGTTGTGATCCAGACCTACACGATGTCGCCTACCCTGGAGCGGCGCATTACAGTTTCAGGACATTGGCGATCAATCAAGTTTGAATGCTGACGTCAATAGCACGTGCATAGCTTCTGAATACACGTCATTGGCGGATGGTGCCAGCCAATCCTAGAAAATGCAGACAGAAGCAAGATTATGCAAGCAGTGCTGCAATCCAATTGGTGGAAGCCCAGATAGCCAATAATCTCCTGTTGTACATATCATTTAATCACCTTCATTTCTTCCAATAAAGGAACGACTTACTGCCTGTCCTCTGGCCTTTTCCTCGTGTCTCGTTCTCGCGGGAAATTGCTTCAGCGATGCAGCCCGTGATAGCTGATTATCGATTAGGGTCCTGTAATTCATATTGCGTGGTTAGTGTTCCGATTTCCGTGCATAGTACTACTACTACTACTTCATTCATTACAGTTCTCTTCGGTAACGGAATGATGTTGTATCACACTGGTGCGTCCCAATTCCTCGCAGTTAATATCAAACAGCCCTGTTGTTTGGTGGACTGTATGTGTGACCTGGTGTTCCGAAACCGTGTCTACATCAAAACGCGCCAACATTTCCGCAACCCATTCAGGTTCGTCTTTTACCAGTGATGCTACCGTCAGACCAAGGGGTAGAATGTATTTGTCTAAATAGAGTGATTTGTTGGCCAGATCTATGATAGCTTTGTATTTGAGTAGGAAATTCATGCCGAGCATGACCCGCCACGGTGTTTCTGCGCATACAAATTTGTGTGTCGTCGAGAACGTACTCAAAACCACATTGCACGTTGTGTAATCAGTAGAAACTAGATGTGCCCCGTTAGTTTCCGTCAGTCGAAGGTGCCCCTCACCGAAAAACGACGGTCTCGCTACCGCTGGGTGGACGATAGAACACGCAGCTCCGGTGTCAACTAGAATCTCAGTGTACATCCCGTCTACAATTCCACGTACAGTCAGGGGCAAACCAAACATCTTAGAACCGGTCAAAACGGAATGCAAAGTAATGGACTGGTATTCAGACTCACCGAGTCTCCGTATGGGTGCGTTGTGGCCACAGTGCTGCGCCCGTACTCTAAACTTCTGGCAGTATCTGTAGCCCGGTTGCGGCCCCGAACGTGTTTGTGGTCTGATTGTGAACGTTGGCTGTCTCGTCTCTGTGGCTCTAACAGCCGTAACGGTCCCATCATGCGTTTCACGAAAGGCTTCTGTGCATGCCTCTCGACTACAGGCTTTGTGATGTGCCGATGTCAGACTCCGTGGCACTTTTTCCAGGAATCTGGCTTCATTGATTTTGTCGGAGACTCCCACAATAAACCGCAGCAGGATGTGGTCAACGCGCTCCACTTCAGACGCTTTGGGTACGCCTTGGTTGCCAGTTGTCGGAGAACGGCTACATATTGGTCAACCGATTCCGCATGGAGTTGCTTCTTCGCGAAGAACTTCTCGAGGAACACAGGTGCTAATTCGTGCCTGGCGAACAATTCGTGAAGGGCCGTCCAGATCTCATCAGGATTAGACGTTATACGGGTCCCCGAGGCTAGGAGCGGGCGGGCGGCGTAGTCGTTCAGAAGAGGAAGGAAGCACTGTCCAAAGTGTTCGGGGGGAACATGTTGCAGGTATGTTTGAGCACGGAAAGCCCACAATTGGAAGTCATCATCCGGGGAGAGTGGTTTGGGCCCGGTGACTGCTGGGCGAATAAAATTTCCGGTAGTTGTGGATTCGTGTTTAAATCCTTTTTCCATTTTTTGTATAATTTCGGGTGGGTTTTCCATTGTTTGGATCCCACCACCGTCACCAGTTGTAATAGACTGCTTCTGACGCGTTAATCGAACTCTGAATCCGACACCAAGGAACGACAATCCAAGGCAGCTGAAATCAATGGCACAACTGTTAATTCCAACAGGCGATCACACAACCACGGTCGGTTATAGTCACGGCTCACAAGAACAAACGCTTGGAGATTAATATTCATTAGCGAATCTCGAAGGGCGGTGTCCCAACCAAGCGAAACACGGAAGCGATACACGAACACACGTGCGGTGACATAGGGAACACAAGAGAGAGAGCAACGGGGGAGGGAGAGTCCGTTCAAACGCGGATCTCAAGTTCGGGGTCCAAAGGTACAAAAGGGTTTCAAATAGTGTCTCTTGGCCGTGATTCTTCTGGTCCCGTCCATCGATCATGTGCGGGGCCTGGAATGGTGCAAAAGAAGAAAAATATTAGACAGCGCCAACTCAAAACCCTACGTTGCGGTTTCTGTCCTATTACACGGTCACCCATCGACGAGGGCACTGTCCTCAGTGCCCTGCAAGGCCTCTGGGGTTCCTAAACATCCTTCCGGGGGTACCTCCACGGTTTGTTCAACAATCGGTACGATTCCCGGAACAACCGATTGTAGGGCTGTCTCATTTGCCGGCTTCAGCTGGTTGTAATGGACGGTGATGGTTTCCGCTCGTGGGTTTCCAGCATCCCGTATGACACATGTCTGCGGTGAGATTATAAATTCCACTTGGTACGGTCATTTCCAGGGGTTGTGGAACGTCGTTGCTTGTCCTGGTGGCGGTTTGAGTCGATGCAGCTACACGGTCCCCGAATCGGTATGTTGGTCCCCGTGTGTTTGTTTCGTAGCTGCTCTTTTTTCTTTGTTGAGCCAGCTCGAAGGTAAAGTGAGCTTAGTCAACCTACCTCAAAGATTGGGATGCTAGACGCTTACCATGCTGGGGATAGTGATGCACTCACAAGGCGTTAGGAGAGCAGTGATCTGGCCTTGGGTAGGCACCGCAACGTGGTGATTGAAGGTATTCCGGAACCCTTTATGAGAAAATGCCGGAATAAGGAGAAGGGAATGAGACATCACGTGATAAACCTGATGCGATTGGCCGAAATACCAGGTCATGCGGCGATCAAACGCGTGATGAGGCTTGGTAAGTGGCGAAGCATAGAATCCGCGAACATCTAGATCCCAAGACCAACCTTGGTAGAATTCGCCAATTCAAGGAATAGGGATGGGCTCCTGGCAGCCGCTGGGCTAATCGGGGATAAAACTGCTGAGGGTATCGACATAACCTCAGACGACAAAACGACACGGCAGAGGACTGGTATGGCCACAGACCACCAGTCACCAGGGTTCAACGCCCCTAGAATAATCACTCAGAAACTACCGGTTCCCAATTCTAGGAGCCCCGTACGCGGGCTAGCAACGACAGCAAGCAGGATGGGGACTCCGCAGGGCACAGAAGCGCCGCTGAGAAGGTTGGTAAGAAAACCAGCAGCTACTAGCACGCCGACTAGCGCTGAGCCAGGGCATCGGGATGGGGTTGCTAGCCAGATGAGGGTAGGGACACAATTGGGTGTCCCAAAAAACTAACGCAGCGCTCGGTTATAAGTCCCGAGCGACCGACTTTCTCCCCCAGGTACCAGAGCCAGGAGAGGGGGAGAAGAGGTCTGCTCGTGGTTTATACCAATGCCGCGAGTGTAAGTAACAAGTGGCCAGAAGTGGAGGCTCGCGCGTCTGGAGCAGAGGCCATCGTGATAACTGAAACATAGTTAGACTCGAGGGATGACATTAGATGCCAAATACCGAGGAACTATTCGATAAGCAGTAGAATAGACCGGCCGGGCGACGGAATAGGAGGTGGGGTTGTACTCTCGGTAGATGGTTATCATGAACAAAGGGAGGGTTTAAAGATTGCTACCTCGAATGTACAGGGTGGGGAAGTAACGATCAAAGGTGGCAATGACGAGACCACCCTGGTTGGGTTATACTGCAGCCCTAGTGCGGAAACATGGGAAGACGACCAGCTACTTGCCTTCCTAGATAAAGTCACAGGGAAAAATCATGAACTCCTGATTGTAGGAGACTTCAATTCGCCGGAAGTAGACTGGGCCATACAAATGGCCCCCAGAAACTCAGTCGGGAATAAGCTAGCTACGATGCTTCACAGGAAGGTACTGGCTCAGCGCGTAGATAGGGCAACCCGGTGGCGTGATGGACAAATTCCATCAATATTGAATCTCGTGGTAACTAGGGTGCCCAACGACTTTCTAAGCTTGAGGAGAGAAGAACCCATCGGGAAAAGCGATCATGGTGTACTTCGAGTGTTGATGAGTGCAATAGGACAAAGTGCGCCAGACAAATACCACAGGACCTTCTGGTCCTTCACTCAGGCCGCACAGATTGAATTGGGTCGTCAGTGCAGCTAGATGGTAGAAAACAGAGCAATATGTTGAACGACAGTAGTGTCGAATTAAGAACAACATAATGACACTCAAAGACCAAGCAGCACCACTCAAGAAGGTCAGACGCAGGGGTGCTCCACCATGGTGGAGTAGCAGGGTGAGAAAGGCCAGCCAGAGGAAACAGTCAGCTAGGCGGCGATATCGGCGCACCGAAACACATCGCGACTTTCTGCTCTATAAAGTGGCGAGAAAAACAGCGTCCAGGGTGTAAAATAAATGCCGACGCAGGCATGAGGAGAGGTTGGCCCTAAATGCGAAAACCCACCCCAAAGCCTACTTCAGTTAAGTGCAGTCAAAGACTGCACTGAGAGAGTGTGGGATATGTTAGGGATGAAGATGGAGTAGCAGCAGTAACCAGCCTTGAGAAGGCCAATATCCTGTGCCACTTCTATCAGGCCATCTATACAAGGGATTTAGGTGCCTCAGGTAGGTCTGTTGGAGTTTGCACGCAGCTGGCCATGCCAGAGATGTACATCGAACGTAGAAGAGCACCTACAGAGACTGGCGATATCTCAGGCCCCGGGTCCAGACCAGCTGCATCCAGCGGTATTGAAAACACTGGTGAGCGTGCTTGCGGAACCGCTTGCACGACTGTTCAATGCATTACTGGAGGAAGGACGATTCCCTAGTGACTGGTTGGTGTCAACTGTCACTCCAATCTACAAAGGGGGAAATAGAGAGAACTGAGCAAATTACTGACCAGTCAACTTGACTTCGGTGGTATTAAAAACCATGGAGCGAATCATACGGGATGAAATAGTCACACACTTAGAAGCAACCAAGATTTTGACTGCACATCAGCACAGCTTCATGAGGAGAAGATCGTGCCTCACCAACCTGCTCTTTTCTTTGACGAGGTAACGCATAGGATCGACAGGGGAGACAGAGTGGAAGTCTGCTATCTAGACTTTCAAAAGGCCTTTGACTCGGTCAACCACAGGTTGATGATGATGAAGCTTCGGCGCTTTAGGCTGACTCCCAAGATGGAACGGTGGATTTGTAATTGTCTAAAGGGTCGGAGCTTCCAGGTTAATATAGAGGGGAAAGTATCCTTCAAGAGAGAACTCCGTAGTGGGGTCCCACAGGGGCCGGTTCTGGGTCCGCTACTGTTCCTACTGTACGTCAGTGATTTAGTGGAGGACTTGGAGAACTCGTCTCCTCTATGCGGATGACGTAAAGCTCGTAGGCAACCCCAACTTCGAGACTATACAGAGTGATCTCAGCAACATCTACGAATGGTCTGTGCTATGGGCTTTGCCGCTAAATATCGGCAAATGCCAGAGACTCATCGCTCAGCAGGACGAAGAGCAGGGTAGACATCTCGGCCCACCAGGCACTGGGGGTGAACTGGATGCAGTGAGGGAGGCCAGGGATCTTGGTATTAAGATCCAGGCTGATTTCAAACCAAGTGCACAGTGCCGACAAGTGGCACGAAAGGAACTAGGAGCTCTCTACCAATTGAAGAGAGCAGTGAGCTCCAGAAGGCCGGAGGTTGTACTACCACTGTACAAGGCCTTTTTGCGCCCTCTTCCCGAGCACTGTGTCCAGGCCTGGAGCCCATCTCTTGCTGGGGGTATAAAAGTACTCGAGAAGACGCAGC